CAAAGACAGCCACCCGTGCCCCTGCCACACACACTCCTACTGAGCTATTGTCACCCTGACAAACGCCCAACCCAAATTTCATTACATATGAATTTTCTCCCCCTCTACACCCCCCCTCCTCGTCTTCTGTCAGTGTGTTCCATTTGTTTAGCTGTCTCTAGAAACACAAGCAGGAAAACACAAATACACATAAAAATAAAATGGTCTGGCCATGCAGCTCTGGGGAAAATCTTCTGCCGTATAATCCAGAAGTTCTTCAGATTTTTTACATGTTATACATTTTTGTAATAAGATGTGCAAATGTTTTTTTAAAGAGAAATCCACCAAACAGTGGTGCTTCTATGGCATCGTGCCAAACAACCCTTTTTGGCACTAGGTATGCTGGGGTTTGGTTCTCCCTTTATTACTGTACTAACAATGTCAGAACATTATTACAAATGCCAGAACATGATATGAAAAAGCTACATCTGTATAAAACAATGAATGTCACCTACATGGGCATATTTAACACTTAAAAACAATCCGGTTGCTTCAAATGCCACAAACCATCACATCTCCATTTTAATGAGCAACAATGGACAACGCTCCTCGTCCTTTAAACAATAATTTAAGTCTCTACTGTTTTTTTTCCTCAAATAAAACACTAATCCTGGTCTTATAGCTGCACTGCAGACACATGAGAGAAACACCTGTTGCTTTAAAGGCACTGCAAGTATTAAAGGCTGACAAAGCTTTTGGTTCTAATCTTGTTTGATGTTCTTCACTGAATCATCAAGAAAAAAAAAACATGATTTAACTAAATGACTATAATTACAATCATGGTCATATAATTACATAACAGAAGGTTACATGCAATATAATACTTCAAACATTAGTTGCTAGATGATTCTTTTTTGGTAGATCTAAAACAGATCTTCATTTCATGCCTGAAGGGTGTGAGAATTCATTGATTTGACTCATCTTTTCAACGTTAACATCACACAAGAGACGTCTTGACTTATTTTTGAGGCCTCAAAGATGTAAGTCAGCACTCGAAGCTCACAGGAAAAGTGAAAGTAACTGTAACTTTGAAAACAAGCACAGATTGTTTTGTCTTTGGAAGTTTTATTAACAGTTAATTGAATTCTGAAAAATAAAAGTCGAACCAGCTGTGCAATTTGGTGTCAGTCCAATCTGCGTATTTGTGTTTTCACTACGAGGCTTAGTGTGAACCCAGAATTTCACTGCTATTTTGTCCTACAATGTTACATAATGGTATCATTTGTCACTACAGTGTATCCTGTGTAATGTGCATATTCATTTCAATGCTATACAGGATTGCTGTTTTATTATGTTATTTGTAAATGTCAATAACACTGTATTTTGCTTTTCTGGTTAGATGCCAACTGCATTTCACTGGCTCTGTACCTGTACTGTAATGACAAAGGTGAATCTAATCTATTCTGAGTTTAGCTAAAACTGATAATAGAAACTTATTATCAGAAACATCTTGGCTGTTCAGAAGATGCAGTTATTGCCAGCAATAAAAATGTATTATAGTAGTATAATAGTGTAATGACTATTTTAAATGGGGATAATTTATGATGATTTGAATTTGATGAAAAGATATTATTGTTTGTGTTGTTTTGCAGAAAGAGAAAAAATATTTCTTGCAGTTTTGCCATGTTTTGGTGATTTTTTTTGACACTGAAACTAATGCTGAAAGTGGTCAACACCACCTAAATGTTACTGCAAATGTAACGTTGTCTATATAATTAGTTATGTAATTACACTGCAATAGCATAGCAAAATAACAACACCTCTAGACGTCTAAAGAATAATTAGCAGAATTCTTTGTAACATTTTACATTACATTAGTCTATATGAGTATCGTTAGCATTTCACATTCACCTACATAACTTCATCTGCACTGTATCGCTGACAATTAGATCATTTGTCGAGTGAAACTCCAAGACTACATAAAATAATTTAAATAATGTGGTTGAAACAGCTGCAGCCAAAGCCACAATAGAGTAAAGGTCTCATGTTTGTACAGGTAATGTGATGAGGGCAAATCAGGTCTGTTTGTTCAAATGCACAGCCTGCTCTGCCGCCGTCTAGAAGGCTACGCGCGCTCACTTGAAAACATCAGTCAGAATAAGCTGAGGATTTTGAAGGCAGGTTGAAAGAAAGAGAAATGAGTACAAGATTACAATCGATCTCCATTTACACCTTCTATAAACTCGCTGGAGAAAGAGATGTACTGTAAGAACAGAACTCATCCACTTGTAGTTTCACAAAAGCTTCTCAACGTGGACAGAATACCCTACTGTGAATTCATCCGAGCAAATTACGACTTGTGAAATATATAAGCGCATCAGTGACCTCTTAATACTTCCAATACTTCCAAGGCAGGACTGAAACACTTGTGAGACCATGTCAACGCTTGCAGCTCATCAAAACACACATTACACATACTCATCAGGAACTTTTGAGATGTCAGATGGAAACTTTTGTCATTTTTAAGAACAGTCAGCTGAGTATTGTTTCCCTATGCAGACAGACTACTAAAGGAAACACACTGCACACTTTTGTCATTATACGAGTCTTTTGGGATCTCATATAAGAGAAAACATGTAAATGACAATTAACACTGTCTATACTGGCAGCTACAGTAATTGGAACCTTGCTCATATATGCCAAACTGCTGAAATTCAGTCGTTCAGCTTTACTGGAGAGCTGATCAATCTAATTTCTTATTATAAATTCAACACTTTATGCCCTTAACTCAGACCACTCATTTAAATATTCTCTTATTCACTTATTTACTGTATTATGATCACTTGTTGCACGCACAAACACTAAAATGGCGGTTTATTGTGTTTTTTTTTTCTCTTATTTACTGCCACGTCTATCATTAGAGGTACTTTGCTAAGATAATTATTGCAATCTTTTTTTCCCTTAATGTCCAGATCTTCCGAGACTATTTACTGCAAGTATGAATGCTGAAATAATTACAGTAATTCATGATTACTTTTTTCCCCTCTTGCTTATGGTCACATTTTTTGTTATTGAGGTGTTTTGCTAGAATATATCACTATTTTTCCATTTTCTCCATTTTTCCAACTTCCACCATTCATTTATTTATCTATTTAACTTATCTACTGTGTTATGACCATTTGTTACCTATATGAATCCCGACACAGTACCATTACAGTAATTAATATTTCCTTTTTTCCTATTAATTACTGCCACATTTTCATTACAGTAACATTTGGCTAAAATATGTATCACTGTTTTTTTTCATACCACCCAGCTCTCCCTAACTGCATACAAAGACTTGAAAGAGGGACTCAGCAAAATGCACCATAATGGCACTGATAAGCTAAATTACCAGATAGCATCAAGGCACACCATCTGGTGCCTCCACTACTAACGCCTGTTGCTGCTGTAACAATGGGCCTGGCTAGACAGTGAGTGACAGAGACAGTCAAACAAACGACTGTTACTCTGAATTATCATAGGCGCAGAGCAAACACGCAGTTTAGCATCTTTTAGCCTACAGGTGCGTTAAGCACTAAACCAGATGTCAACATGAGAATAGGGCTGTTTGTGGAGTGATTCAGGCCCTCCACCAGCTTCCCGGCTCAACGACAGCCGGAACAATGAAGTCCCCCTTCCCCCCAGTTTCCCACAATCCTCTGCTCCCAGAGGGAGTCCCGTGCAGTGAGTTTGATACCTTTTCCCCTATTGTTCACTCAAAGTTTGTATTTTCTGACCTTTGAATTAAAAAAAAACTCAAAAACATATGATTTAATATCTCACTAACACTAGGTGATCTCACCATCAGAGCAGCAGTTTTACTTCTAACAACTGCAAATAATTACTTTTTTTTTAAAAAACAAAAACTTTAATTATGTTAATACTCTAAATATTATGGTCTTTGTCACCTTTAATATTAAAATACTAGTTACCTGAGGAACAGTATATACTACTGAGTCCATGTGGAGTGTTACAATAAAAGACAGGTTTATAGTTCTTCTAATTTAAAATCTGGGCATTTCTCGCCCCTGTGATCATCTGAAACGTGATTTAAATACAGAATTTTTTAAAGATCTTTCTTTGGCTTTCTCTACACCGGATGAACAACAGCAGAAATCAAAGCAACAACAAGGACAAGTCGGAGCCAACTAGTAATTGAAAAAAAAAAACAATTGGTCACTATACAACCCTACTAAATGGTCACCTTTTTACCCCTGCAAAGGGGCAGTAATACACAATGACTACCTTCACTATTACACTGTTAGTCATATTTGGAAAGCCAGTTCTAAAAAATCTGCTAGTAGCCACCCAAAAATATTGTAAACTGTTTAAAGTATGAACTACAACTTTTCATTTATGGCTCAGCACTCTCGTTTAAAACCCTAAAGCCTGAAGATGTTAAGTTTCCATAAAGCCATCTCAGAGAAAGAAGGACAAGTCTGAGGGAGCTTTCATAAAAACCACGAAATTAATCATTAACAAGGGCTGCTGCTGACCAAACCCTGGACTTTCTCCTTCTTCCCACTAAACGCGTTCAACTCTTTCACAAAAGTAAGGTTAAAAATAAAAACCAGACACACAAAAAAACAACAAAATAAAGCTACACACGATCGAGTTCAAGACGTCAGATCAGCGACAGGCATGAATGAAGCTCAACGAGTTAACCAACGTTATATCAGCGAAAAAAACTCAGCAGGATGGACAGAAACACACAGGAGAGACTGGGAGCTGCCACGGAGTTATTACTGGCATCAGCAAGATTCACAATCACTCGGCTCCTTGTTCGAATTTTCCCGTTCCACCTTAATTGGGAAAATTCGAACACGAAGCCTGAGGCGCCAGAGTGTAACTGCTGCACCATTTAAGGTGGAACGGGAAAATTCGAACAAGAAGCTGGCGAATAAGCAGCTGACTTCAGCCTCGTCAATCACTGGCGGTTATTACAGCAAACCAAAAGAGATAAAGAGAAATAAACTTACAGGAAATAAATCAGTTCGTCGATTTCGTCGAGGAGGAGGAGGATGAGAGTTAGCTCGGTTAGCAATCCAGCTGGCACGTCCCCGGCTTCAGGAAAAATGTTTTGATGACCTCCAAAAGTGATGTAGGCAGCTAGAGACAGGGCAAAACAGAAGCCGTTTAGTCACTTATCGATTAAAAAAAGTCGATTAGAACTGGGTTTTGCAGGTTTCGACCATTTTGTCGATGTTATGCTCAACGCTACGAAGACGCGAAAAACGTTAGCCTGCTAAGTTTAACGTATTTAACGTATTTGTTGGCGACGACAAAAAGTGCAAGACGCGCTTCGAGAGCGAGAAAACCGAGGGGGAAATATCAAAATACCTCGTTTGCCATTGTTTTTTCTCAATTACATATCTCCAGTAGAGACACAAACTTGGTAGTATTGGAAAACGAAGGCAAAATTTCACGAAAACGTTCACATTTTCACTGAACATCACAACAGCGCAGCTGAACTAAGTTCTGCATAGTGACAACTTTGTGGTAACGTTAGCCGCTCTGCTCCACTTACCTCAAACACCATAAATTTAATGTCTGTGCTTTTTGACCTGTGAAGGATTAATAGAGAAGAAACAGAGCCAAAGCCAGCGGACTAGTTTTCCCTCTCTCCCCCCACCACCACCGCCTCCCAAGACTGGTTTGTGAATGCAAATATTCGGAGTATCTACAGCGATGTGAAGTATGTGCGGAATGAGAGCAGGAATGAAATGAACGTGGAGATTGAGTTTGCGCTGGGGGGCGGGGCTTCGGCGCCGCGTCATCGCCAAACCCCGCGCTGATTGGCTGAGCGTCAGTCAAGGATGACATCACGAAGGAGTTTAAATCCAGATCCACCGCCTTTATCATTTAATCCATTTATCGTCTCTTTTGCAACTAAATCTACTGCAAAGTTTTCTGGAATGATTTTTCCTAATTTTCTTACAAGAAAAATATTTCGTAACTGCAAACTGACTCAAAAGTGCTTTTTTAGTGCACCAAGTAGAGAACACGTGAATTGCAATGTGCATTTATTGTTGTTTGTTATACATACATTCTTAAAAAGGTGGTGCTTCAAGGGTTCTTTAGTAAAGAAAATGGTTGCATATAAAATCGTGAACACTCAAAGAACTCTTTGCATGATTATAGGGTTCTTTGCATCATAAAAGGGTTCTTCAGACAGACGGAGAGTGTGCTGTCAAAGAACCATCAAGCAATTGATACTCCCGTACGTTGTACACAAAAGCAACCCTGTTTAACTATTTTGCCTGCATTTGTTATCAAATTTTCGAACCCTTTGTGTGTATATTATACACTATTCAATAAAGCATGTAAACAAAAATACCTTTTTACACTTTTACCTTTCATAACCCCTCACATTTTATTTATCACATTTTACTAATACTAAAATCACAGGCCTTCAGAAAACTGCTCAGCTCTAGTGCACTACACAGATCATGAGATAATGGTTTCTAGACCCAAAAAATGGTTTCTCAACACAAAATTCATACAGCTTAAAGGGGCCGTATCATTAAAAACTAAATTGTCCCTCAATTTTTGGAAATAGAAGAATTTAATGTAGCATACGATCATGTTAAAGTTTCAAAAATAGCATTCACTCCCCAGTTCATATACAGGAATTACGGGAGCCCATTTTGAAACCATTGCTCCTCTGATGTCACCCAAACCATTTACACATATCCACCTATTCAGTTTAAAGCAGTTTAGCCTCGCCCTCAATAATGTTAATGAAGTATTTCAGCCGGTAGTCTTTTAGAATCAGTCACAGTACAGAGCTGTTGGCAATCAGAACAGAGCTTATTTCAGCCATAAAGGTACAAACAACCTGTTTAATTTCACCATGAATGTTTTTGGTACATAAAACCACACAAATGGTATAAGCACCAAAAACACACTGCTAAAAAAGGGCAGGGAACTTGTTTACCTTCAAACAAAAATCAAAGACACACTAAATGCAGCAGGCCAGGAAATGCTGATCAGACCTTTAAGCTTAAATCAGCACTCTCAGTCTGTAGTCCTGTAGGGTTTAGCGAGCTCCAACCTGATTCAACTCAGCAGTTAATTACCAGGCTGAATCAGGTGCATTAGAGTGGCGATTTGAGTTGAACAACTTTGCTCTGAAATGACTGGGTTTATTGTTTATGAACATTACAGGAAAAACATAAAAAAGCATTTGTTTTGGGTGACTTTGTGGTGCATACCGAAGATTTGTTGAGGATACGCAGAAGGAAACCATAGTAACCACAACCATAACAGAGATCAGCAGGTGTTTGTGTTTGCTCTAACCATAGACAACAACACGGAAGTGTCTAATTAAACCGCACTAATAGGTTCCAGATCTGGAGATTGTGAAGTTCAGGCTGTGAAGAACGTGTCTGTATTTAACACAATCCTAAGATAATCAATCATATCCGCTCAGTTATAAAGCTAATGTTAAAGGACCACTTCAGCCTATTACTAGCAATATGTTATTGGTCATATCATGCAGCATTCTGGAGCTTGACAGATTTTATGATTTTGTACCCTTTTCATCCATCTATGTTCTTTTACTACAACCTACAGCATGCATTGTAAGGTTAATACATCATACCACCATTGGTTACTCCTCCCCCACTGCAATAAGGCAGTCCTGACCGCTAGAGTAGCCACTGATGAAGAGGCTAATAAATACAGATAACTATCTGGCTTCTTCTGCTTTAACCAGCCAGCAGCAAAATAAGCATTTTAAACAGCTCATGCCCAAGTATCTGCACCAAAGTGCACGTAGTTTTTCAAAACTTTCTCCCACCTTCATGATACATCATCACAATGATTGTTTTCTAGTGTTTAAACAGGAAAATCTCGCCCCAGAAACTACCACCGCAGGTGACTAGGCCTGTTTACAGCAGACGAAGCAGTGGGTACATTCTTGCATGAATTGTATCTGAGCTCCTGCACCTCATTCATCTCTCACAGGTCTTGGTAATTACTTGAGTTCAGTTTAAAAGTGCTGAACTGAGGAACTGATGCCATTGTGCAACCCCTGAGTGGTTCATAACTTGCTCAGGTGGACATAGGCCCACATGCCATACATGCCAAGCATTCTAGTGAAGTAATCTCTGTCTCACTCAGGCACTTGCACACATGCACACTCCTTTGCTTTCAGTATAAGTTGGCAATAATCCTTCACTTTCCCATGTGATGCAATTAATTCTCCTCAAACAACAGGGAATTTACGCTTAATGGGGGATTTTGGTGTCTTTCAGAAAGGGCAAATGGAATCTTTCGTGAATGATTGCCCCCCTGTGGTCAGAGGGGACCACGGCTGAGAGCAGTAAACAGGATGACAGAGGATGATACAGCAATGCACAGCATTAAAATGCTTTCAAGTAACTGTCAATGGAGCCGCTGGGATTCAGAAATCCGTTTTAGTCCAACAGTGACTAATAAGGGTTCTGTGGAAGCTTTTATTTCCCAGCATGTGAATTCACTTACATTTCATGTTGAACCCTTTGACGAAACAATACAAAAACCGAGACGTTCTGGCTCGGCTGACTGTACACTCTTAAAAAAAGGTGGTTCCATGAGGGTCCTTTAGTTCAGTCAGTGGTTATATATAAAACCGAGTCAACTGTAAAAACCTTTTTAGTGATGGAAAATGATGTTAAATATTGCTGCTGTCAGAACAAAACTTTGCATTCGTTTTTCAGCTTTTGACATAATTTGAAAATGCCTGTTGCCCTTTACATTGTGTGTAAATTTCATGATGAATGAACCAAAAGAAACAGCCCAAAATTACTTGAAAAAAAGTCTGGTTCCACTGACTTACATTAGAAGTGCACTCATTAGTGCAGTAGGTAAAGTCTTGTAGTGTGTGGTTTGGGACGCAGTGTTAGATCAGTGATCTCTGGAGAAATGCAGGTTATTTCATCTTTTTTCTGGGCATTCTAGTCTATTTTGCTAGGTTTTAATCCACCTGCAGGGTTGTAGCTGTAGTTACAGTGACGAGACGAGCTCTATCAGAGCACAGTCAGACTTGCAGCTTGCCTACCAACATGGCGACATGATCATTTAGTGACATAATTGAATACTATGAATAGGACCAAAAAGGGCTCCGCTGTTGTTATAAGTAATAGAACCTTTTGTTGGTAGTATATATAGCCCTATTTGCTAAGACTGTAGTGCATATAAAAAGACACAAATCTCAAATATGTCTCACATAAGGGTGCAACAACACACATATTTACAAGTTTTATTTGCTTTTCAATCCTGACGTCGTCATTTGATTAAATTTTTAACATTTTATGTGCTAAAAATATCTTGCTTCTACAGCGCTTTAATAATATGCTACACTTAAAAAAATTTGGTTCTTAAGAGTTCTTTAGTAAAGAAAATAGTTCTGGGTAGATGAAATTGATTTTGAAGTGAAATGGTTCTTCAGATTAATGGAGATTGTGCCGTATACCTTTTTTGAAAAGGGTCCTGTATAGCACCGGAAACATTCTACTATTGTTACGACATTAAGCTTGTAACCATAGAAGAACCCTTTTTGAAAAGTTTCTGAACAGAACCATATGCAGCACATTCTCCATCAATGTGAAGAACCCTTTCACGACGCAAAGAACCATTTAATATTGGGTTCAAGTGTTCATGGTTCTATATAGAACCATTTTCTTTATTAAAGAACCTATAAATCTCTTTTAAGTGTGTACATTTGTTTAGCTCTGATAAACAAAAGTTTTGAACTTCTTGCAGTCCTCTAAAAAACCTGCAAAAATCACTGAATTTATGAGCAAATTTAGAAAACAGGCCACACATTTCAGCTTGGGTGTACAGCGGAGAGGAACCCTCAGTACCTCTAGGCCTTCAGAACGCCTAATGACTTTTGTGAAATGTGTATTTTTGTAGTTATTTTTTAATTATTTAATAGAATCATCATGCTTGTCGTATTTAAACTCTGTATTTCAGCACTTCTCATTTCATTTTTAAGTTGTGGTTGGAAACACAGTCATCGATAGATACATAGATACAGCCCACCAAGCTGAACTGAAAGCCTAAGACATCAATTTAATCACAGGAGATCACGTTTTGATTCACAATAGTTTGAGACCAATAGGTGAAAAAAAACATTACTCTAGGCCTCCAGGAAGTTCTAGATATGTCACTATGAATATGAGCCGTGGTCTAACCAGGTTCTGTACTAGAAATGGAAAAGAGTGGCTGCAGCTCCACACCAGGACTCTTTACTGACAAAGTCACTTTGAAACTGCTACATACACATGTTAGTGTCTGTTACAAGCTTCAAATGTCTGTGTTTATTCCAGAACGGCCAAAAGTTTTCTCATGTACATCAGCCATAACTTAGCACTAACAGGCTACTAGAATCCCATAGGGGTGCTAGCAGAAATTAGCATTATCATAGAGGTGTTTTTCCATGTTTTTGGCCAAGTTTTGACATTTATGGCCCAGTCTAGCTCTAACAGTCATGTACCGTTACTGCATGTATAGCATTAGACTGCTAGGATGCACCCAGGTGCCTAGATCTGCTCTTTTGTGATTATTTTATATTTCAATACACTGTTTTGTAACAATCTTTCAATAGAGTATTATAATCATTAAACAGCAGTGGAAAGAGTGATTGGCAGAGACACAAGGTCAAACCCACTAAATACACTGGCACAATAGATTTGTTTCTTTTATCATTCCTA